ACACACACACACACACACACATGCATGCACACACATATGCATGCACATGCACACTGCTGAGTTGAGGAAAGTCATTTAAAGAGAACAGTACCATGTGACATTCAGTGTTTTTAGTCAGTCAGATGTTGATACACCTTTCTCTCTGTCTTCCTGTCCCCCAAGTTCCCTTCCCTACTCCTGAGATTTGTCAATACCCGCAGACATTTTCCAGAACTTTTCCTGCCAGCCCCCTTGTAAAAACGCCAGCGTAAATCCATCTGCAAATTATGTCTGAAGATTTCACCGCAAGCGAGCGGGTGCGTTGCATGCTCTACCCAGATACCCCCCCTCACCTGAACCCCCCGGACATTTTCCTGTTGTAGTGAACACGTCTAATATGGAGAATCTCCTGCTGCATTCTTTATATGTAAAAGGAAAACTCCAGTCTGGAACCAAATGTCCTGACATTTTCCGGAGTTCGTGACTGAAACGGCTTATGTCTCCCTCCCTCTTTGCTCCTCCTCCCTGCACCTCCACTTGATATGATACTGAGAGAAAGATGACCAGGGGGTTGCCAGGACAACCAAGAAAGAAAATGGTAAACGTAGGCATTTGACAGATTATTCTTCTGTCCATGTGGCCATTTGAGTGTTTGTTTGAGGGAAGAGAAGGGAAAAGAGACCGATATGAGCTGTTGACGTTGTTGATGCTCCAGATCGAGGACAGCAGCAAACACAGCTCAGTCGCAGGAAACTCCCTCCTCTTTCAATCTTTCCCTCTGTTTTTTCTCTTGCCTCCATCTCTCTTCACTTCATTTGCAATCTCATTCACTCTTGTCTCCCACTCTTCTGTGCCTCTCTTTTAACCTCATGTTCTCCCGGTCTCTGCCTCGTGTCCCTCTCTCTCTCTCTCCCTCGCCTGTCTCTTCCTCCTCACCCTGTCTCTTGCAGTGTCCCCCCTCTCTCTCTTTCTCTCTCTATCTGGGGTTTTCTCTCTGGTTACAGTACCGTGTTTTGCTGTATGAGAGGCAGCTAGCTCAATATGATGCTGGGGAAAGACTACATGCTGGCCATTGTGATTGTCAATTACGAGGGTAGGTGCATCTGTCAGAGTCCGCTGGAGGCGACACTGTAGGCTTAGAGTTGGAAACGCTGTCTGAGTGCGTCTGTCTGTGAATGAAGTGAGTGTGTGTGTTGTGTGTATAATTGTGTGTGCACAAGCATGGATTTATCTGTGTGCCTCCTACAACACATTGATGAAGTTTGTGATGTTATTTATCTCTAAATATCAGTCATAGGAATCTGGTCTGTGCATGCCATATTTGTCCTTGTATTATGAGTGTGTGTGTGTCCATTTTCTAGCTGAGGTTGTGTAAGTGTGGTGTCGTTTGTCAGAGAGAACATGTGTATGTGTGTGTTTTGCTCCAGAACCTCTCCCTTCCCCCTTTGCTCAACTCTGCTCTGGCATGGAGCTGCATGCAAACAGAGGCTATGACAGGCACACTGCTACGTAGCTCTGCTACGCCTCAGTTCCATGAGCTGCACAGGAGCGTGCTAACTATCAACCTCTGTGTCAACATGCTGAGACCTTTTCATTCCAACACCACGCGTGATACAGCACTTGCAGAGGTGACACTGCTAACTTCATGGCATGATGATGATATGTCCCTGGACCCAAACCACACAGATCTCTCTCTCTCTCTCTGTCTATATCAGTGTCTCTCTCTCTTTTGTTTGAATATATAGGCTTTAATCCACATCCAGTGCTGTTAATTTCATGCTGGCATTCATTCTGAGTCACCATCCTCCCTCCCTCTCCCACAGCAGAGACACTCAGGTTGTCTCACTTGTAGTTTTATTGGCTGTGACCTATTTTATTTGCACATAAAAGACTGCAAATCCCAGGAGGCACTGCTTCACAGCTCCTGCTCTAAAGCAGAGTCTTGAGCCCCAGGGACGTCTGCTTGTTCAAAAAAATGCTTGTGCACATTTTGCTAAGCATTCTGTGATTTCTCTTTCGTTAAAAAAACTGAAGTGTGTGTGTGGGTGTGTGTGTGTGTGTTGTGTGTGTCAATCAATTCCATCTCAATCTGGACTGACCCAGTCTTCATGATGACATATGGCTTGCTGTCATGGTGACAGGCCTATGGGCTGTGTTTCATCAGCATGGTCAGCAGTTCGCGAACTCCACACACTAATACACACTCATACACACTGCAGAAGCTGACCAGTCTCTTAGAGTTATTAGTTGCTACAACACCTAATGCATTTCTGGATCATCTTTACTACCTCTGCCACTACATCAACTTTACACACACAAAGATGCCATCAATAGTAGTAGGTGTGTGTGTGTGTGTGTGTGTGTGTGTGTGTGTGTGTGTGTGTGTGTGTGTGTGTGTGTGTGTGTGTGTGTGTGTGTGTGTGTGTGTGTG